GTTGCCAATTTCAACTCCCTCACGTCATTTTTCAAGTTGTTAAACGACTTTCCCTTTGGGATTGGCACCTTCAACCATTTAGGCAATCTTTGGTTCGGATCTTGTCTGGCCGCTTCTAATGGATCAACCAACATGTCCGCTGCTTTCCCGTTCACAAAGTCCTCGAACGATGGTCCTTTGTTTAATGCATCTGAAAACACTGTCTTCTTTCTCTTGGTCTTAGGTTTGGCTTGCTCATTGATACCCGACGTATCAGCAGTCGCTAACGTACGATAGATCCGTGCTGGTTGAACCGCAGGACTTCTCAGTATACTCCTTAATGAAATCATTTATATCCTAGCTTCCTGTTCTTCTTGCCTCCCCGTATACAAAGTATTATCACTCTAATACTCTTCTATATATATACTAGGAAGATGGAAATTGGAACCGTAAAATTTCCTTCTCCTCTATGAACAGAAGTTTTGGGCTTTTGTGTCACTTTCACTCTTCATCCCGGTCGAGTCAACGAGACCTGGCTACAAGTGACTCGGGGTCCGAGTCGAAGTGAAAAATATTGTGAATATGTATTTATACAGAGCTTACTTGGGATATATATTAGAGTAAACGGTGGACTTTATCGTCTTTGAAAGAGTGCAAGTCGTCCAAATTACCCCACCAGTTGAACAAGAAAGTTTGGCAGATCAATTTGAACCATGGGGTGAAGACCAACGAGTCATCTTCAAACATTTGCTTCAATTCGTCTTGACTCACGTATTTGTAGTCCTTGACCTCGTTGTAGTTGGCGTTTATGGTGATGTCGTTCTTGGTCTTCAAAATCAAGATGTAGTCTATCTCGTGCTCGCCCCACTTGGAGTCGTCACCTCCACTAGGTGACTTGTAGTGGATTCTGGTTAAATACTGGAAGTCGGCAAGAGGAGCATCGCCATAAGGAATACCTAGTTCGTGCTCCAACTTCCTTTGCGCTGCCACCTTGGCTCCCGCAATGGCGGTCGGCAAGTCGTTTTGGTTCGAGCTTCCACCCTCTGCCGTTATGCCTAATTCATCAGGCACGCATAACGGATGCGAACAGCAGGTGTTGGTCCACATCTGTGGGAATGTGATCTTCTCGTCGGCTCTCTGTTGCAATAACAACTTTCCGTCTTCGTTGAAGAGAAACACAGAAAATGCTCTGTGCAACAACCCTTCGTCGATGTTGGTCATTATATGGCACAATTTCTTGGTACCAGCTCCGATGGGCTTGTCCTCGTAGTCTAAAACAATGCACAATTCGTCCATCAACTTAATTTGTTCCTCGTTGTGGCCTTCAAATATCCTTTCGTTGATGATGGAATTGTCTGAGCTTGAACCTGCTGATTTCGGAACTCCAGAGATCTGTTTCAACGGAGTAACTTCGCTCCACTTGCTCAAAATATCTTCTCCCGATAACCCGGCAACTAACTTGGCATAATCTGACATGTCTAACGTCTATTGTGATGTCTAGTACTTATTTTGTGAAAACCTTTTGTTGACCTGAAGTGGGTACTAAATAAATTTTCTGATAAACGCGATCGGCTGAACAAAAAACTTCCCTATACGACAAACGATGTCATCAATCCACGATAACTTGTTATCCCCGGTATTAACAGTTTAATCCGTAAATCTTCACGGAATCAATCAGTAATGCATTAGTCATTTCTACTTGGATCTGGTGTAATTGCCATTACGGTGCCAAAGATTGGGCCATTTTGTCTCTGTCGTAATGAAAAATTGTGGAGCCCTGGGCTTCTCGAAGATTTTCGAATTTGGTCTGAAAAAATTGTCGACCCAAAGCCGGCGCTTCTACCACTGATCTCGTTATTTCAGACCAACAAGGAAAGCACCCCCACAATTGAATAAGTCAAACATGTCTAGCGTCGCCGAAAATTCTACTGGACGTCCCAACAGACGTTTTATCAAACGTCCGGACGACAAAGCTTTGAAACAAGAAATCGACGGGTTGAAAAATGAAATTAAAAAGTTGGACTTAACGAACAATGAGATTAACGCACAAATTAACAAGGTTGTCACGGACCCAAAAGTGATTGAAAGAAGAAAAGAGTTGCAAGGACAATTGAAGGAGTTAGTTGGTAAGCAAAGCACTATCAAGAATGAAAGAGGGGCTATTTTGGATCAAATCAAAGGTGTCGAAGCTCAATTGAAGAGAAAGATCTCAGAAATCCAAACCAAGACCTCTAAGCACGCATTTAAGAATGTGCAAGAAATCGACTCGAGAGTCAACTACTTAGACAAGTTGGTCGATGCGGGAGACTTGAAATTGGCGGATGAAAGAAGATACGTCAAGGAAATGTCATCGTTACGTAAGTTGCGTAAGGACTTCGGATCCATCGAAAAGCAACAAGAGCTGATCGACCAGGACAAGGCCAAGATTGCTGATTTGAAGAAGAAGTTGAACGCGGCTCAAAACAAGGAAGTTCAACAACAATTTGAAAAGATTCAAAAAGAATTGGATCAAATAAACGACGACAACAAGTCGGTTGTTAACAAGAGAAACGAGTTGTTCGGAAAGAGAAATGAAATCAAGAAGACCAAGGACGGTAAATACGACCAGATTAGAAAGTTGAGATCTGAATTTGACGCTGAATTCGAAAAATTCAAGACCTTGATGACCGAAGAAAGAAAGAAGAGAGATGAAGAATCCAAGCAACAACAATTGGAAGAAAAGAAACAAAAGAGGAAGGAACAAGCCGAAAAACAATTGGCTGAAGCTTCTATTCCTGCTTTCACCGATGAAATCAACTCAATCCACACCTTATTGGCCTACTTCGACCCATCTTACGTTAAACCACAACCAAAGAAAAACGCCACTGCTAGCAACGACAATGTCACTTCCTCTGTAAACGGTAGAAAGATTGAAATGCCTGAAGACGTTGTTGTTCTTAAGAAAGAACAAGAATCTTTCTTCGAAGGTTCTAAGTCCAAGAAGGCCTCTAAACAAAAGAAGTCTAAGTCTAAGAATTTCACTGTTGAACCAGATGTTATTGTTGCATTAGGTGACTTGAGTATCCCATTACCAACTCAAGCTGACGATGTTTCTTCAACCATAGACACTTTGAAGGAAACCTTAAAGGCTCTCGAAGATAAACAAGAAGAACAAACTAAAGTCAACATTGAAAAGGCAAAGGCTAAGATTGCCAAGCTCGAAGCTGAAGAGGACCAAGCTGATGCTGATGCTGATGCTGCTGATGCTGCTGAAACCGCTGAAGCTTAAATTTTGGGATAATTTTTATCTTTGTCCCTTCGGCTATCATTCAGCTAGTTTATTATCTAATATCAATTAAAATTTTGTAGATTTATTAATATACAACAAGTATTTACTATGTCCTTTCAAAAGTGTAATCAGGTCTATAGGCTATTTTGAAAGTAGGAAATAATTGTCTTTCATCTTACAAGCTTTATTGTACAATGTCAGCTACTGCGCGCTCTTAAGATGAGCTCTTGAAAATTTATTTTAGATGATATTTCAATATCTATCCCCAAGTTTATACATTAACCATGGCCAAAAGAAAGACTGAAGCTAAGGAAGAGAAGCCTGTGAAGAAGCCTTCTAAGGCAATTCCAGAAACCCAATACTCCATATGTGTTCCATCTACTATAATATCAGCCGCAAATGCTAGGAATTTAGAACAAATAACATTTATTGCATATCAAATAGCCAAAGCTGCTACTATTTATAACGTAGCCGAAATCGTGGTGTTAGACGTGCCCACGTCTTCCAAGAAGCAAGAGCTTGCCGAAAAGGAGGCTACTAAGGTCGTTGAATTGGGCAGTAACAAAGGTGGTAAAAAGATCAAGTTCAACTTCAGCGATGAGGATATATTAAAGCCAACCGCCGTCGAAAAAACCAAAGAACCAGAAACTCCTGTGGACCTCTCGTCTGATGTCAATGAGAACAACACATTGCTTTTCGCCACATTATTGCAGTACTTCATGACTCCGCCATATTTGGTCAAGTCTGTCTTCGCAAACAACCAATTCAACACCAAGTTCAAATACGCGCAAAAACTCCCCAAGATATCGACCCTCCCATTTATGTCTAATAGCGACGTCTCCAAGGACTTCAAGGAAGGTCTCACTATCCCCAAGGCCACGCCAAAGGTCACCAAGAAGAACAAAAAGGTCAGTGCATTGAAAAAATTGTCCGTCACCAAATACGTCAATATCGGCGACGCCGAGCCGTTTGTATTGGACCACGAAGTCCCCGTCAACGTCAGGGTCACGGTGGACTTGAAAAACAAAAAAATCGTCTCCCCCCTTCAGGCCTATGGCTTGATCGGCTCCAAACTGTCCTTCGGGTACCATGTCAGATACTGTGCCAACTTCAGCTCCATCTTCACTCAGTGTTCCTTCCCCGAAGGCTACACCTCCACCATATACGTCAACTGCGACGACTACTTCAACTCAAACGACGCCATTGAAGCTAGAAACTCTATAAACAAAAACCCCGACTTCTCCCCCAAAGACGGGAAGATTCTCCTACTCTTCGGTAACTACAACGACATAGACTATAGTTTCCAGAACGACAAAGCCAATTTATCTGGCGTTGAAAATGCCTCCCAGATGTTTGACGGCGAATTGCCAGTCCCAAAAGGTGTGAAAATAGAAGATGCTACGCTAATCAGTCTTACGAAAGTATACCACTAGCCTATAGACTATATAGATTGCAAAAAAACCTACATATTTGTTAATGATGTAATTTACGCGCGCATTTCGGTACTTTGTATGAGAACAACATCCCTACACCCCTATTAAGCCTCTCGCTTGCTCGTTTTGTTATGCGTATATTTGAGTCTTTGTTTGCTTTTTCTAAATTTAGAACACAAGTCTAGAACTGTAAACATTTTCTGTAAGGATGTTGAGGAATTTGTTTATAGAATATTCATTGATTTTATTTGTTTTATTTGTTTAATTTTGTTCTTATTAGAATTAGTACTCATTCGTTTAATCAATAGATAGTTCTGAAAATGCAATTCAAATATTTAACTGTTCTTGCTGCAGCTGTTTCATCAGTTTCTGCTATTGGAGACGTAAGTTTTTTTTCGAATATGATTTGAAATTTGGTGGAGGCATAATATTAACATATTCTTTAGCTTGCTTTCAATATTGGTGTTAAGGATAACTCCGGTAACTGTAAATCGACAGAAGAATACGAAAGTGACTTCTCTGTTTTAGAATCACAATCCAAGATTGTTAAGACATACGCAGTTTCTGACTGTAACACTTTACAAAACTTGGGACCAGCCGCTGAGGAAGCCGGATTTCAAGTGATGTTCGGTATCTGGCCAAATGATGACGCTCATTTCGAGGAAGAAAAACAGGCATTGAAAGACTACTTGCCAAATATCTCTGTTGATACCGTCAAGGTTTTCACAGTTGGATCCGAAGCTTTGTATAGAGAGGATATGACTGCCGACGAATTGGCCGACAAGATCAGCGATATCAAGGACACCTTGAAGGACATTAAGGATAAGAACGGTAAGTCTTACTCTTCAGTTCAAGTTGGTACTGTTGACTCGTGGAACATTTTGGTCGACGGTGGTTCCAAGCCAGCTATTGATGCTTCCGACTTTGTTTTCGCAAACGCTTTCTCGTACTGGCAAGGACAAACCAGTAAGAATGCCTCTTACTCGTTCTTCGATGACATCATGCAAGCCTTGCAAACCATCCAGACTGCCAAGGGTACCGACATTGATTTCTGGGTTGGTGAAACCGGATGGCCAACTGATGGTACCAACTTCGAATCTGCTGATCCAACTCTTGAAAACGCTAAGAACTACTGGCAAAATGCTATCTGTGCTATGAGAGGATGGGGTGTTAACGTTGCTGTCTTCGAAGCTTTTGATGAAGAATGGAAGCCAAACACTTCTGGTACTTCTGACGTTGAAAAGCACTGGGGTGTCTTTGATGACAACAACAAGCCAAAGTTTGACTTGAGTTGTGACTTCTAAGTTTAACTTTAGATTACAATTAGATGTTTGTAATTTCTACGAAAAATACCCAAAAAATATTTTTATACCCCCTTCTTGATGTTTAGTCTTTATTTCTTAAGGTTTATCTTCTGACGTTCCAACAAAATAAAATTTAAATCGGTTCGATTATATAGAAGAAATATATTATTAAAATACTATTATGAATATTGATGGAATGTAAGATCTGCTCAGAATTATTAACATGTCTGAGCAGAATATTTGTCGAGTGTAAAGATTGGTGTAGACGATAACAAAATTACTGTCCTCTGTATCTGATACTGTTTTAGTTTATTGTTTCCGTTTTTATTAATGTTACTAAATCCTAATTGAGTTCATATATCATCAAAATTGTATTCACATTATTTTGATATTTTAGCAATTTTTGGTGATTATAAGTAATAATAACAAATTATGTGAAAAAATTAAAAAAATATTTATATAATCAAGAGAACACTTGGAGCAGTACACAAACTCCTCTTTTACTGTCCACAGTCAAAAATGGAGGAATAGCTTTATTCTTTCGCTATATAATTGAAAATAGCATCACCATCAGTCTTGCTGCATTTAGAAGTTTAACTTGTAACAAACTTTTCTCTACTATAATATACTTGAGATTATAGGGGCATGAATGATTAATCCCCTAGTATGAAATGCTTATTATCATCCTATGAAGTAGTTTTGATCTATTTTAAATATTTCGGATATATTATTTTATTATTTACTAGAACTGTACTACAATATGGAAATAATATTTAAAACAAAATACGACTTCGTGGCCAAGTTGGCTAAGGCGTGAGACTGTTAATCTCAAGATCGTGAGTTCGACCCTCACCGAGGTCGCATTTTTTTGCTCAATTGATAAAATCGAATCGTGCTTGCGAAATCTTTTATCAAAAGAGGTAAGCAAAATTGATATATATATCCTCTTGAAGTTCCTCCTTAATGAACCTGGGACCTCCTGATATATCGCTAACTTTCAGCGAATTGTCATTAAAGGAAAAGGATGAATCCCGAAGAAAACACAGTCAAGAGAAATCGAGACCAAACTTGAACACTCATGAGAGATCTAATGATAAATCTAAAGATAAACATAAATATAAACTAAAGCAACAGTATCCAATTGTCAAGTCGAAAAACAATAATATAGAAAATAGAACAGCTAAGCCAGATGAACTGAAAGCAAATACAAAGCATACCATTAAGCTGTCCCTGCTTGAGAGAGATGAAAACAAGACATCGATTTGTCCAACTGATACTAGGAAATCAACGTCTACTCTAAAAAGTGGTAAATTTTCTTCTTTGAACAATAATAAATCATTCGGAAAACAATTTGAAACCAATAGAGTCGTAACAACCTTTAAAAGTAATATATACGCATCACTAGGCAGTCATAAGAAAGTAGCTTCTCCAAGAGCAGAAAAAATAACCCCCCCTACCAATGCGAATTCATCTAGAGAGAACTTCAAAGTTCATGATAGATGGACCAACTACTCGAAGACTAAGAATTCAAGCTTAGTAGTAGCAAATAGTAGGAATAAGAAATCAGAGGTTTTTGGTGCTAAGCGAGCTTATGACGATGAAAGTGCAAGTAATTCGCTATTGGCTAATCTTGCCAACAAAGGTGAACATGATTTTGAAGAGGAGGAGGTGAAACCCGAAGATTGCATAGTGGATGGCTTGAATGTACCATTATTACCTCATCAAGTATCCGGTTTAAGATTCTTGAAGAGACGTGAGGCAATCAAGGGAAGTTCTCAAGGTGGATTGTTGTGTGATGATATGGGCTTGGGTAAAACGATTCAAACTATTACATTAATATTAGAGAATAAGGGCAAAAGTGGACATAAGACCAATCTAATAGTATGTCCCGTATCTCTAACTAATCAGTGGAAATCTGAAATAGAATCCAAAGCCTCTGGACTAAGTGTCATTATATTTCATGGCCCTGACAGGCCAAAGAAATACGAAGAATTAGCTGAGTATGATGTAGTGATAACAACGTATGCAACGGTAAGTTCAGAATTTCATAAGAGTGGATCACCATCAGCTTTGTATTCTTCGGAATTTAGGTGGTGGAGAATTGTATTGGATGAAGCTCACCAAATAAAGAATAAAAACTCCAAGCAAGCAATAGCGGTTTTCAATCTAGATGCAGACCATCGTTGGTGCTTGACAGGTACACCACTACAGAATAATCTCGGTGAATTGCAATCATTATTTAAATTTATTCGAGTCAGTAAATACGCAGACGATAAGGTATGGTTGGATACAATTCAACGTTCTCTTCAGGAAAGAGATATGTATACTGCATTATTTGAATTAAGAGATGAGTTGAGTAACTTAATGTTACGAAGAACGAAAGCCATTTTGAGCAGTAGTCATAATACCTTTAAATTACCACCAAAGAACGTTCATAAAATTACGGTTGAATTTTCAGAATTTGAGAGATCAATATATAATAATGTGAAACATATTATTTTATCAAACTTGAACAACAGACCTGCAAGCGACAAAAACACGGAAGTTGTTAGGGATAATGCTCCGACGCTTAAATTGAAGAAACAAATAGCTCAAGCAAAAACCGGGAATGTCAATTATATGAGTGCTTTGGTATATTTATTGCGATTAAGACAATTGTGTTGTAGCTGGAATTTGCTATTTGAAGATACAGAAGATAGCTTAGATTTTGAGGGAAAATTGACAGCATCCAATGATAAAGATACATCTCTAAACAACTTAATAGATTCAATGGGCGGCTTGTCTGTGGACTCAAAAAATTGTGAAATTTGTATGAAACGACTCGATGCAAATAATCAATCTACTGATGATACGAGATTTTGTAAAACTTGCGGTGAGAGTGTTAAAGTTCCGAAACATCACGAAGATGATTATTATGTGTCCTCAAAAATAAAACAAGTATTGGAGATATTATCGACTAACCGTGATAGAAAAACTATCATATTTTCTCAATTCCCATCTCTATTTAAAATATTAGGAGATAAGCTTAGATCGAAAGGTTTTAAAATATTGACTTATGATGGATCTATGGATATAAAAACAAGGAATTTCGCTTTGAATTCTTTGAAAAATGATCCAGATATGAATGTTTTACTTTGTTCTTTAAAGTGTGGATCAGTTGGGTTGAATCTTACGTGTGCATCACAGGTAATTCTATTTGATCCTTGGTGGAATCCTCAAATTCAAGAACAGGCAATAGACAGAGTGTATCGAATTGGTCAAACCAAGCCGGTTGACATTTATGAGCTTACTGTTAAAAATACAGTAGAAGATAACATTTTGAAGTTACAGAAAACAAAGAGGCAGTTAGCTAACGCCGTAACGTCAAATAGTTCAAAAATTTCTGCAAATAGTATTAGTAACAACTTAACAAAAAAAGAACTTTTACAGTTGTTTGGTATCGAAGAACCCAATAATTTACCATAAGCTTGTTTATTAGATGTATGCTTTCTCTAAATTAATATATAACAAATAAGGGATGTGAGAATGGTTGAAAATGATGATGCTGTTAAAAGATTACTCATATTTTCATTAGTTACGGCTTGTGGAGCCGAGGATGAAGGAGATTCTGTTTCAGAACTTGTATTAGCGGAGTCTGCTTCATTTGAACTTGAAGTACTATCACTGGTTGGAGCTGCGTTGGCAGATGTTGAGGTGGACGCACTGGATGTAGTGTCTGTTGAAGATGATTCCTCATTGGAGGTGGACGATATCAAGGTTGAAGATGAGGCTTTGGTTGAAGATGAGGCTTTGGTTGAAGATGAAGGTTTGGATGAGGATGAAGCCTTGGTTGAAGATGAGGCTTTGGTTGAGGATGAAGCTTTGGTTGAGGATGAAGCTTTGGTTGAAGACGAGGCTTTGGATGTGGATGAAGATGAAGATGAGGAGGAGGAGGAGGATGAAGAAGAAGAAGGGGATGAAGAAGAAGAAGAAGGAGAAGAGGATGAAGAGGATGAAGAGGATGAAGAGGATGAAGAGGATGAAGAGGATGATGCTGCAGAACTCGAACTGCTGGATGCTTCGAAATCAGTGTCAACGGAGCCACCATCTTGTAAAGTTTTAAAATCTTCATCAGCTTGCTTTTGTCTACCATTAACTTTACCATTAACAGCCTTGATAGAAGTCCAATCACCAGAATTGTCACCATATTCGTATTTATCACCACTAGAATAATCCGTGACAATGAGAGACTTCATGTACATTGAAAATGGCATTTCTGAGTAATCGGTTAACCCGCCAGCCCATTCAATAGTACCTTGTTCACTAGATGGATCACCACCAGCCCAAATACCCATTCTTATGAACATTGGACTTTGTGGATATCCCTGAGGATTGTCTGCATCCAAAGTTCTCACCACTTTACCATCTAATGACCATGTTAACGAGTCCTTTGTCCAGTCTAAGGTGTATGTGTGGAAGTTTTGCAATGGATTTGAAGAAGTGGGGTGATATTCACCTCTGTCGTAAGTAGTGGTATCACCTTTTGAGAAGTAATTCAGCTGGAATTCGTAACCATCTCCTCCAAACAACTCAATGTCAATTTCATCCAAATCATCTGATTGCAAAAAGAAACTCGAAATCACACCTTGACCTTCTGCTGCTTGCATTGTAACCTCAATCTTTCCGAACATTATGTAAAAGTTAGATTGCAAAGTTGGATTATCTAACCTCTTAGCAAGCTTCAATTCTAACCCATCATCACCAAAAGATACACCATTGGGTTCAACGATATCAAAGTATGGAGACTTAGATTTAAAGTCTTCTTTAAATGATGTTCCTAGCGCTTGTACCGCGTCACAATTCGTACTTTTCAATGGATTACAAGTCGATAATACGCTTGGAACAAGTGCACATATTTTTAACAAAGAATTAACTCTCATATTACTATACTACTCTAGGTTAAAACTTTCAAAGCCAACTTCTATACAATTGGGTGGCTTATATAGTTTTAGATGCATTCTAATTATAATCACGATTCTAAAACAAAAATATTAGCGTAGGAGTGATTTTGCCTAAATATAGAAATTGTTCCAAAACGCGATCACGTCTAACCTAACCAACGCCCTATATGAGCCATGTTTCTCATACAGAATCTCCTTTGTATGACGTACCACACGAACCGTTAGGAGGATCTAACAGACATTTGCCTATTTGGATCCAATTGTCAACTGATATATGCTTCGTGTGTGCCATCATTTGTTTCTAGTGTGTAAGAGATGCTCATCGGCCTACAGTTTCGAATCCCACATAACCGGTTTATTACCCAGCTAGGCCCAATTAACAAGAACAAGTGTAGGGGTTCGCTTTGGTCTGCGTCTGACCAAAAATATTACAAAAAATACTAAATGATACTTTGTTAAGGCTTAGATCGTCTGTTTCGCTTGGCTCGAGAAAAGACTAATTACGTCCGGTACTAAAGAGAATTTAGTGCAACAACTATCCGACCCGATTTCTTATGACTACTCCCTTCGTGTACCCTTCTTGTGCGGGCCGTACTTATGCGGTCCTTGGCATATTTGTATAAATATTAAGTGATGGTTTTGTACTCGCAGGGAGTGCGATGCTGGCTCTTCATCGGATGGTAACCGTCGCGATATCCCTGACCTCACAGCCATATATATACGATTTACTTAAACAATTCATAAATACACTGCATTGGCTCATCGAAATGGTTTCAGCGCATATTTATACTCTATACGACGTCAATAGTAAGATACACTATTGAACCACACTATCTGTATGAAGAAATGCAGACCAAATTTCACTTACCTGTGAAGATTTGTAGCTCGTGTTAGATGACCGGATTCCCACCTTTGGAGTTCTATCGCAATCTCTACAAAAATGGACTATCAACATATCCACTCTATATTACCAATAACCGTGGTTTTTTAATCCAGGTCTGAGAAGTCAACTACTATTAATCTTTATCTATAAGCCAATTTGCGCCCATTTTGGCCATAATTACCAATCTAAGCGAGGTTCAGCTTTTATCGCAAAACGATCGTGTGACTACCAACCAGGGAAAGTTGTGATAATAGAATTATATTATTTCCTTGCTTAGATATTAGTATACTACAAAGACCAGCGTGGAGAATATGTCGGGTTTACTATGGTACATGGTGGTTTTGGCAGCTAGAGGAGGCTACGCACAACCACTAAATTACGGATATAACAAAAGTGAAAGGAATAATAACAATGATTTGGTGACGGTTTTCTTGTTTTCTGTGGTGACGTTCAGCGTGATGGTGACGTTTTTTGGAATAATAGTTTTCGTGGTCAAAAGACGGATTAGGTTAACGGAAAGAGAGATGGTCAGGGAAGAAGAAAACCAGGTATATCTTGAGTTGAATTCGGACGAACAGGAGCTTTATTTCCAATCGAAGGAATATCTCAATAACAACCCCTATGTGAGAGATGAGTTGACGTTGTCGCAAAATTTGGCAATACAGGAGAAAGGAGTAAAGGCGTGGGAATTTGTGAAGGACCCTATGTTGGCGAATAACGATATGATGATTTTGAACCGGTACGAGATCACATTTTTCAAGAAGTTTGAGTGCTCGACGCAAACAAACTTGCCAATACCCATGAAAAACGACGTGTACTACTTTGAAAGTAAAATGCACCACTTGCCACATCCAGAGGATACGGTTGTGTCTATTGGGCTAGGAATCAAGCCATACCCGTGGTTTAGATTACCAGGAAGACACGCGAACTCGGTAAGTTATGATTCAGATGGATACAGACGCCATAATCAGCCATTTAAGATCACCAACGATCCGCCATTTCCTAAGTTCATCGAGGGTGATGTTATAGGAGTTGGGTATCGGGTCAGAAGCGGAACGATATTTTTCACCAGGAACGGGAAGAAAGTCAGCGAACTGAAAATCGGGGGTCACATTAAAAACTTCAAGATTTTGCATAAGGGACAAATATTTCCTATCGTTGGGGCAAATAATTTATGCTCCGTGCATGTAAATGTTGGCCAGATGGGCTACGTGTTTATCGAAGGTAATGTAAAAAAATGGGGCTTTGGTCCCCTCGAAGGGAATGGTCCGGCACCACCAGCATACAACAAATTCAACGCAGATATTTTACTTGAAAGATCCGAGATCGACGAGCTGAATGATTTGAGTGATCGTGATGATGATTTCCCTCCTAATTTCTGGGAAATCAATCCGATAGATGATGACGACATCAACGACAAGTACAGTTATAATGCATACAGTGACTCAAATTCGAATCATGAGAGAATAACGTTGAATAGCATCCCTATTAAGCCTCCTTCATATGATGGAGACCATGAACTGGATGATGACATAAATGATGGTCTGGCGTCCACAGAAGCCCACCGTACTGACAATAACCACGAATCGCACCACATACACGACACAACTCCTGATAGAGACTCCAATAATACTACATAACAGGTGTATATATAGGTGTATATCGGTTGATGACATATCCTAGCGCAATATAATATTGCAATCTGATTTTGCACATAGAACCATATTTTGTAAGTGTTCTTTAACTCTATCCTTTAGGATTTGATCCCATAAAACTATTGAATTGTAGGTATTGATAATTTATTTTGCAATTAATTTCACCTAGACTAAATCACAATCTCCAATACGGCATTAGACGTAGAATTCTGTGAAAGTATTCGGCTAAAACGTGGAGTAATTTTACCCTTCTTTTCTACGATTACATTACATCTTCAGTTGTGCTCTGTACATTGTTCTTCTTTCTTTCTCACAGCACAACACGACCCGTAGCTGACTCCCCCCCTTAGTTACCGTTAGTTTCCGAGCGGGACTTTGTTGTAGGCCATCTCTAACCTCAGCACATAAAACTACTCACTGCATATTAGTCTTCGCTAAACGTTTTCGGCCCGCGGGCATAGGAATTTAGGCGATTTAGTACCCCATAAATAAGGCATTAAATTTGAGTTTTGGGATTATTTATGTTTGCTAATGGCAACCGCAAGCTTACCGTCAGGTATACGAGTATACTAGTCTGATTCTTGTTTAACAAAATTACTATTTCGCTAAGATTTGGTATATGTTTGACCATTATCGTATACTTGTATGAGAATTTCGCACCCTACTGCCGTACAGCAGGATTCCAAAATGCCCTTGACCTGGGTTACAAATATATATCAGGATGCATCATGAAACAAACTGACATGCGTTGGGTATTGTAAACCGTTGCATGGTTTTATGTGTTAAATTCTTGGTTTTTTAATCTTTTAATATACAGTAAAACCGATATTGTGGAGAGATGGTATTCCCTCGAAGGCATTTCAAAAGTAGAAACTTTATATTTTAGAAAGAAACCCCACAAGTGACTCCCAAGTATATAAACCACTAAGGTCCAGAATGGCAAACATTTTGGAAGAGAAGACAAATTCTACGATGATGCAAAAATATACGTGTGTTCCAATTTGCGACTACGAGGTATTGATAGTTACTAATGGTACCGTTTCACAAGTAGAAGGGAAATTGACCAAACTAAATGAACATAATAATGATGAAATACCTTTGAATTCTAGTATAACATACTTAAAGACGTTCAAAGAGTTGATAGAGTATCTTAGTTTTTACAAAGACAGCAACAATGACGATGAAGTCAAGTATACTGGGAAGATAGTCTTCATGTTTTTTAACGGGTTAGAATTTGTTCAGGATATCTTATGTGATGCCATAGACCACTCACACAAGTGTACTGCAACTAGGGACATACCATTAGACTACCATATGTGTTCAATGATCGACAAGGTGCATGATTATAACGACAAGAGTCAGTCTGTGGAGGTAATGCAAAATACATACTTTTATTTTGATTCGACCGTTATGTCTGACAATGCAGACTTCAACATGGTAGTATCAATTGTGAAGGATATATTGAAAAAGACCGATTTTATGGTAGGTAGAATTAGAGGTGTTTACATTGATGATGAACACCTAGAGGGAGAAAAAGCGTTCGCTGTAAGCAACTTGTTGAGAAACTATCCTAACATTGAAACTTTGCAGTTGACTAGCAGGAAAACTATAATGATGAAAGATTTGATTGTTTAGACCGTATTTGGTCTTGTGACATATGTAGGTGTTTAATAATGAGTTTAAACCCAATTGCCATTGTCATTTATGATAAGTTTATGATTTCTATAAAATTGATTTACATCTTGTTTCGTATTTTAATAACTAATTACCTTAAATTTATAATTTGTAAAGCTCATGAGATAGACCTTGTAATAGCCTCTGATCAATCTATAAACGGTCATTCTACAAATGAGATTACTTTCTAAAATATAAAAAGGTACATTTTTATCATAAAATCTAAATAAACTAATGTTTGACTAGCAGGAATATTTTCTATGCTTATTGGTCTAACTTAACATAGTTCGCAGGGAACAATCCCACTTCACTACTACTGGAGTGTTTACCTGACCACCAGTCTTCGTCAATAAATTCAATTTCAACAATCTTATCGCCCTCAGCAAAACTAATTTCATTATCTTCATCCTTTTCATAGTCGTATTCTGCCGTAGCAGATGGACCCTTGTTGGCGTCAGCAGAACCAGAAGGTGTAGACGAAGTTTCAGGAGTAGAAGTCTTCCCAATGGTCGTCGAAGCTTCTTTTCCTGAATCATTTTGTAATGAAACGTAAGAAGCTGGAAATAAACCAACATCACCGCTTATAGAGTGTTTACCAGACCACCATTCTTCATCAACAAATTCAATTTCAGTAATTAAATCACCTTCAGCAAATTCAATTTCATTGTCTTCATCTTTTTCATAGTCGTATTCTGCAACTGCTGTAATCACTTCAGACTTTTCTTCATTGGGTTTTGAAGTAGGAGCAACGTCTTCTTGTTTAGGTTCTGTCGTTCTTGCTGGAGGAGGAGGTAAATTACGTGCTGGTAAAGAAGGGGTAGGGGCTGATGTTTTTTCTTCTTCTTTTTCTTCTTTTTCTTCAGCTCTTGGTGGTAAGTTTCTCTTTGGTGGCGTTGGGAATGCACCTGTTGATGGTTTTATAATTGGTGGCTCAATAGGTTTCTCATCATCCTCTTTTCCTTCTTCTTCTTCCTCTTCTCCTTCTTCTTCTTTCTCTTCTTCTTCTTCTTCTTCTTCTTCTTCTTCTGCTTCTTGTTCCTCTGGTTCGTCAGCTCTTGGAGGTAAACTTCTCTTTGGAGGCACTGGGAATCCGCCAGTGGATGGTTTAACCAAAGCTGGCTCTTCTGTTTCTTCGGTAGAATCTTCTTCGTGATCATCAATAGAACTCTTAGAAAATTTATCAGCTAATTCAGACGTTTCATTTTGAGTTTCCTTGTCTTCAGACTCAACAGATTTATACTGACCTCTCTTTTCAGCCCAAAGTTGAGCTGGTGTCTTCCCACCTTCAGCAGCATAATTTCTGGATAACCCACCAACTAATTTATCCTTTTTGTTATCATTAGCAGAACCATAACCAACCGCAGGTTTGGAACCAAATGAAGGACTTTTTGAAGAAGTATTTGCTGGACTAAAACGAGATGCCACCGAATGGTTGACCTTAGGCTTAGGTAATGACGTCATTCTGCCATCTGAAGTGTCATTGCTTTTAAAGGTTTTCATTCTGTTGGATAACGATTTTGGCTCATCGTCAGCTTTGCTGGTTTCATCGGACTTATCCTGCGAGGCAAATGGCTTTGGTTGCGAAGAGATGGTGTCTGATTTTTGCTTTCTCAATTCAGAAATATCAACCTTAGTTGGCTTGTAAGCAGATGGGACATTTTCCAATGGCTTCTTTTCAAAATCTCTTTCTTCAATTTCTTTTTCATCACCCCATCCGTCATCATTATTGGAAGATGAGGCAGCAGGCTTCGGAATGGTTGGCTTCGGAGTAATTGGGGAGATTGGTTTACCAGTACTTTTTGGAACCGATGGCTTAGAAGGAGCCGGCTTTGGTGTAGACTTAGCAACAAATGGCTTCGAAGCAGCCGGCTTGGGAGCTGGCTTGGACGATGTCTGGTTAGAATATCTCGCCCCTGCCGCAGCACAAACTCTATGCAAAAATTCTTCAGCATCTAAATCGTCCTGGTCCCTAGCAGTGACTTGAACATGATATCCACTAAATGCGTTAGAGACATCAGCAAAATTGTTTGCGAATGATAATCTTGATTTCGCTGGTGCATTATCTGGACACCATCCAACGAGCAAGTTCTTTGAAACATCCGATCCAGGAACAATAACTCTGGCTAAACCGAATTGAACACTTCCATCTTCAAAGTGTTCAATAAATTCATCTAAAGAACCATCTCCGCTTTCACTTACTTCTAAACTAGAGTTTTTATCGACGGTATAAACCACGTAATTCGAAGAAGGGTCCCCCCTAACAACTTTTTCGTAAGCTTCTTTAATTTTTTTAGAATTGGTAGACAAATCAATCTTCTCCATATTTGAATGATATTTAATATATAACTAGTTACAACGGGTATTCCAGCCAATTGATCATAAAAGGGTACTAAGTTCCTTGACCCTAGGTCAATTCTCGATCTTGATCTCGAGCGTGCGAGTGACATATTTCAGCTTGCTGGGATAAGGTAGGACTTGTTGGCCCAGTAAGACAATTACAGCTGCTGAATTAGAGTATGTACATCTACGTGTAGTGACGGTCATATTCAATTACATCAGGCTAGATTACTTGCTACTCTTTTAAAAAGAAAAGGTTCCATATAATGCAATTGCTCAGTTAATACACTATCCATCGGCCGTACAGAGCTGTCTACGTAGACGTTAGAATGTAGACTTAAGAATGTAGCCTTAGAAGTCTGTTTATATTGTCTATTCATGAGATTCGTTTTAAACCGTCTTAGAATTTCTACATGCATTGTCCAGACAAGGATTTGGATTATCATTTCGAACTAAAGTCGTTTATTATCTATTGTACAACAACCCGACACTGAACCCACTATTCACGTCGTATTCAATCGTATTGGGCCCTGATTGAACGCACCTACTCACATGAAACCCACCGCTCACTTAACTAGAGCAAACACGAGACACCACATCATAAGGAATCCGGCAACATTGCTAGCTATGCCGTCAACGAATATTTCATGTAGAGGCTTTCTGAAGAACTCAATGGCCTTTCCTTGGCAACAGATCTGGTAAAAAGCCAAGTTTGTGATTGTAAACCCTATTATATAGAATAGAAACCCGTATACCGATTCCAACGTCAAAACACCAGCACCAACTCCTAGCGCCAATGCCATAATATCATGCACATGTTGGAGTTTTTTCTTATTTGCTTCTATACTTGCAATGTAATATATCGTTTCTGTTTCACTCATTGTTATTTTAAGATGTATATGACGTTTACTGAACTAAAGTATAATGTTCTTTGATATCTGATATTGACTGAAAAATTGTGTGCGCAAAATTGGTAATTATGGTGGCGGACTAGATTGATATCAAGTCTTTTATATATGGACAATAAATGAAATAACAAAGAATGCCTGATATACTGTCAAACTTGAACAATCTTAGGAGGTTCTTATTTGATATTCCTTTGAAATCAAAATTCAATTTTAATGGTGAAGTACGGAAAGATATTAGAAGAGAATTATTTTTGGCAATATCTAATCATGGGGAATACTTAGATTGGTTTTTTCCAAACGCATTCAATAACCAAGATCAAGACAGAAATGATGTAATAGAGAGGATTGATACTGAGTTTGAATGGCTTTTTAGTAATTATTATAAGTCCAACCTTTGCGAATCAGATTCCAAGTACAACACGCATAATCATGATGCATTCCATTCTAACCTGCCATGTGCAAGGATATTCCGCAAAGGAGAACCAATATATAGATGTTTGACCTGTGGCTTCGATGAGACTTGTGCATTGTGTTCTAATTGCTACGATCCTGAATGCCATCAGGGCCATCAAGTTCATATCACCATCTGTCAACGAGAAAATGGAGGTGTGTGTGATTGTGGAGATCCTGAAGCCTGGGTTAAAGATTATTTTTGCCGTTATGCATCGAAGGATAAAGAAAGTTCAAATATGAGAAATAAAGAGATACCCAGCGACTTGGAGGAATCGTTCTTCAATACCATAGAGATCTTATTGGATTACGTTATTGACATTATAAGTCAATGTAATTCACAATTCAATGATATAGAGGATTCAGAAAGCTACCGTATACAATTAGATACGAACTTCAGTAGCTTAAATCCAACAAAGTATGGGTACGTGAATGCAAACATCGACAATTTTGATAAATATAGTGATAAATACTATTTGATGGTATATAATGACCAGGTAAGGCATTATAGAGATAAGGTACAGAGAATTCATTTGGCCAGTAGAAAAGTACCACAGTTTGCAGTCATGGTAGCTGATAAGGTTCAAAATTATGGGAGAGCAAAGGTTATTAGCTCGAGCGATATTAGCTTGTTGCGAGAAAGACAAAACGTATTAAAAGCTACGGGACTTGCAACGTGCATAAGGAATTATAGAGATGTGTTTAGGGAAGACATGTGTAACGAAATATTAATTTGGATTAATGCTTTGACTGAAAGTGAAATGTTTAAAAGCCATAACAGGGCAAAAGATTTATTCTGTAAAGCTTTCTGCGGTAGATGGAATATTGGTTTGTTGAATTACGCTGATCATAACACTAATTATAAATATAAAGTCGGAACTTTAGACCAATGCTTAAAGATACCTAAAATTCCATCAAACATGTACACGATGTTTGGAGTCTACGATAAGGCTTCTCAGCCTCATTGGAATTTTAGGCCTTCAAAATGGGAGTTGCAAGATCAATTGTGCCACGATTGTGACTATAACTTATCGATTGAAGACTACTTACCGCATAAAAGTCACTTGGGCTCTAGATTGCAATATTTCATTTATTTGGATATCAGATTTTGGAAATCTATAAGGGTCCTATTGCATGATATGTATTCAAGTTCCTTAATAACAAATTTGCATTACAAGAATATTATTTCCTGTCAGTATGTGGATATTTATCCAGCAGTTTCAGACATGTTTTTAACTATGGATAGAGAGCCAGAGCTAAACGTCATGTGTACACTATCAACCCAATTGTTCACATGTCCGTCAAATTCTACTTCAATTGTTCGACATGGAGATTTATCAAGAATTTTCGCATCAATTTATGGGTTTCTTACCGTCGAAGAAATTAAATCCCCTGAGTGTGTTGACATATCTCATGAAATTTCAATGAAAAGCTTGAAGAATAGAAGATGGGGTCAGATTTTTTTTGATATTGGTTACATCTTGAGTAGGAGTCGTGACTCAAAGTCAATATTTACTAGCAATATTATCCCAATGGCTTGTGATATTTTGGCTTTATTTCAAGGTAGACCAGTAATGAAAAGAGAAAGTAAGAATCACGTAGAGTATGAAAGCCCAGACTATACTGCGTTCTTTCATGCTATTCTGGTTATTTACCAATTTGCAGAATATATTGCACGTAGTCTTGATAATTTAAACGAAATGGATAACAATGAGGGAAAAACTTTATCTAAAAAGGCAATCGATTATGTTACGCAATTTTTATTAAGACTAGAAAGTAAAGATTATCCGGGGCTAATTGATGAATATGTGGATATAAATATTTCAAGTGAGAAGAAGTTCTGCGAAGAATTAGTCGATGGTAACATGGTTCAAGAATTTTTTATCGACAGAGAAAAGGTGAGTTTTTTACATCCGATTCACTCTTTCTTGTCTTGGCTTATTGAACTATCAGACTTAAGTACTCCAACGGAAATTAATGAAGTAATAAACGATGCGACCATTGCTTACAAAGACAAGGCATTGACGTCGTCCAAGCCCTTTGAGATACAAAATCCGTTCGCTTCAATATTTGAATACCCTATAAGAACAATTGTTCTAATGTCACAAATAAAATCAGGATTTTGGGTGAGAAATGGTTTCAGTGTTCGATCTCAATTGCAGCTTTATAGGAATACAGGACTTAGAGAAAGTGGATATTTGCGGGACTTATTCTTAACTCAAATATTCATAAATTCTAGTAGCCCTAACCATGTCTGCCATTTATTGTTTAGTCGTTGGCTATTGTTGGATGGATTTGTGAAAGAAAATCAGGAGGACAATTTAAGTATTGACGAGATGAAAAATTTACAAGCATATGATCTGAAGACATTACCATATATGATAGAGGAAATTTTAAGTTTCTTCGTTCATATATTAACGGAGGACCTCTACTTATGTGGTTTGAATAATGAGACAATAAATGAGATGCGTATAAAAAATGAAATCATTCATAATTTATGCTTTGGACCAATGAATTATACTAAGCTTTGTTCGCATATACCAGACCATATAACAGCTGAGAAAAGATTTGATCTTATATTAGAAGATATTACTATTTTTACACCACCTAGCGGTTCGAAAGGTATTGGAATATATAGATTGAAGGATGAATATTTCGATCAAATAAATCCGTATTATTTCAATTATACGACCAATACTAAAGACGATGCAATAAAATTTGTGAAAGATCGTATACATAAGAAAACATGCATTCCAATATCAGAAGTAGTTATACCGCCTAAGCAGAGAAGCTCTGATGAATTGGAAGTTTATAAACATATTGGAAATTTCTCAATATCGTTATACTTCCGTGATTTTTTGATTAGAACTCTCACGTATTGTTCAAATGAGGATGCTGACAAAATTGATATAATACTAGAAACTACGCTACACTTGATACATATTTGTTCACTTGAAGAAGCAATAGACATTGAGAGATATGGAAGCTTCTATAATAATTTTATCTATACGTCTCATAACAATGACCTATCAGTCGCTGTTTTATTGTACAGAATCGTATCAGATGGGATGTTCAAGGACCATCACTCAAAGATTCGTTCTATATTTAAAGTGTTTGAAGATAAATATCACAATTTGAGTAAAATATTGAATGATCAAGTGAATAATTTTGATCCTATTAAACTAGAGATAAATATGAATCAAGATCTGAATGAAAATGAATTTGAGAGAAAGAAAAGAGTAGCCAAGGAAAGACAATCAAAGCTTATGGCAAAATTCAAGAAACAACAATCGCTGTTCTTATTGAATAATAAGTTTGAGGCCACAGATTGCAGTGATACTGAAATGGAAGGTTATGAAGAAGAAGATGCTGGCTGGAAATTTCCAGAACCACGTTGTTTGCTTTGTCAAAATGCATCAGAAGATGCTGGACCATTTGGGATAATAACATATATTTCAAAATCTTCGGAATTTAGGGATGTACCGTTTGATGACAAGTATTGGTTTTTAAAGTCATTTTCGGATTCACAAAATTTAGATGATGATGAAAACGAGTTGGATGAAACAAATTTCAATGAGCAATGGATAAAGTACATGAAAAAAGTGAAAGATTCAAATGTCATTGGTCCAGGATTTCCACACAGAGAACACGTCGATAGTAAATTGGTCTCTCTGAGTTGTGGTCATGGTATGCATTTCCAATGTTACATGAATTTTTTGAACAGTAATAGGAATCGTCTGAATCAAATTACTAGAAGTGCTCCGGAGAATACAGAACATAAAGAATTTCTTTGTCCTCTATGTAAAGCAATCAATAATATGTTTATACCAATCTTATGGACTTCCAACAAGAGATCACTCACGAAGTTTTTAAAACCAGCTAATGATCTCAACCCATTTGAAGAGTTAGGTTCTCAAAATATTCATAATAAGAATTGGTTTGATGATTTCGCAAAGACAACTAATGCCGATATTGAAGAGTTCGTTAATTTGACACCTGCGGCTAAAGAAATGATAGGTCAGAGTTCCACAGTTAATGCTACCTCAAACCAACAACATTTTAGAATGCTTCTATCCAACATGTTTCAAATTTTGTCTTTACTAACGTTCCCTCAAATTCTAAAAGCCGATTCAACAATTTTATTAGTGAATACCATAAAATCTACCGAAATTGAATTGAGAGGTGTTGATTCTAATGGTGAACTAATAATCAACCAATTGTATAATAATTCATTGATAAATTTAAGAACTTTGAATGAATTTCGCAATACGAGCTTGTTAATGAAAATAATGAATTGGATACCTACTCCTAATCCAAAGTCTGATGCTTACGTTAAAATTTTGGCAAATATGTTGACATTATCTTCGGATTCATTTAACTCTTCCATCTTAGAAAGAGATTTCTTTGAATTATTGGTTAATATATTCCCATTACCTAAATCGGGCTTTTCGTTTAATTCTATATTGAGAATGTGCTTTTTGGGTCATATTATTCAAAATCTATTGACAATTAGCACTGAGATTTTAAAGCAGGGCATTTATAAAAATGCAGATTATTCTATCCTTGATATTCCTATAATACCAAATATAAGTGATGAAATAGCGATGTCTATGATTGACATTTTTAAAAAGATTAATTATTCTGGATCTACACATTTTGACGAGGATTGCATTAATGATTACAGGTTTGGTAAAGTTATCTATTCAATGCTAATAAAAGCATCGACTCCATTTTTGAGAAGAGCCGCTATTTTCTCCTTCATAAATTGTGCTGAAATAGATTCGATTGACTTCAGTCAATATGACAACTACAGTAACGAGGCAGATAAATTATGCTCTTTTATGAACATAGATAGTTTGAATGTGCTTTTGCTCAATATTTGCAGCTCTGAGGAAACCAACTATGAAGCACAAAAATTTAATAGTTTCCTTCATTCTTTAAAATCGTTGAAAACTTCTACGGTCGAACAACTTGATATGCGGAAAGCATTAGAATATCCTGGTATAGTAAAGCTAATAGATTTGCCTGAGAGATTAGACCATTTTTTTACTAAATATTATTACCTGGACAGATATAATAACCCTCATATGTCCATCGCAGATCCCGCAATTTGCTTATTTTGTGGAGAAGTTGTTGATGCTCAGAAATGTGCTATCGGAAATAATGAGGGACAATGTACTACTCATTTTATGAAAGAGTGTTGCAATTCAGTTGGATTATTCTTACTTCCGAAGGAACGCTTTTTTCTCTTAATGCATAAAAAGGGAGGCTCGTTTTATAATGCGCCATTTTTAGATCAACATGGTGAGTTAGCAGGAGATACAAAGAGAGGTAAGACCCTTCATTTAATGAAACCAAGGTATAATAATTTTATTAGAAACATATGGCTTCAGCATAATGTGTCTAACTATATTGTAAGAAAGTTAGACAGTGTTATGGATGCTGGTGGTTGGGATACTTTATAGAAATTACATTAGTACAGAATATATATCTACATTGTAAAAGGATCGGATACCACATTGCAAAATTGACAGAGAGAATATTCTATCGATAAGAAAAAGGAGTGTTCAAAGCCCTTAATATTTAAGAAACTGTAATTTAATGGCCTGACTGTGGTTTACAGACATTATGATCATGAAATTTTAATTTGCTTTCATTCATTTTTGTTTTAGATATCTTGTCGTTCTTGCTTAGAAACAGAACGAAACAATGCATGGTTTACTATGAACTACTATTTTGGAGCGAATGCATTAAAGGCCAGAATTAATAATATCAAAGAAAAATGTACCAGAATCATAACCTTTCCTCTAACTACGTATTAAGTAGAAGTTATACAGTCTACATTCCAATCATTATAAGCCATCGTCTTTATTAGTATATTCATTCGTATTAGAACTTGTACTTTTCAAAGTCTAGCCAAAACTGATAACACATCAAAGATTCTTTTTTACATTATTTCTTACTAAAAATTTTTTGTAGGATATTGACGTATACTATAGACAAATATTTCACCATGCACGATCTTCATTAGTTGCTGGGCGCAAAAATATATCATCATCATATTCTTCGTCCTCATCAATGTCCTCTTCATCCTCACTGATACCTATGTTTATCGTATCGCCCATATTTTGCTGAAGTCTAGATCCAAATATGCTTCTAGTAATAAACCCATACAAACCTTGGTTTAACCATAGCTTATTTAAATATTGATATCTAAGATTATTCAAGAAAGCTTTACCAGAATTTCTAGGTCTTTTTACTTCGCCATGTTTGGTAAGATACGGTGCTGGAACAGTGATAAATATCGGACTGGTTCCAATATGTGTTGCAAGTTTAAGATTATTCATTCTAGGATGGAAGTAGATAGCAGTGAAACTGCAACAACTTGCCATGTGTGTGAAATGTTTGGATGCCTTAATCTTCTTACCACAACTCAAGCAAACAATATAATCAAAAACTCCCTTTGTAGAATTATCGTTGTATTCAATAATGCAAGAATTATAATCATTGGGCATATCAATCAATTTGACAACACCAGGATAATCGAGAGCAAGTATTCCGCTGTCAATATAATGGGGAATTTTTGCATTTAGCACAATATCAAATATTTTACATTCAAAATTGACACTGTCTTCATTTGTAGCAATGCCCTGTACCAACTCTTTCAAGGTAGGCAAATTTAGTTTCTTGCATAACACATCAGAAGAATCTAGGTATGATTGACCTTGTATCTTACTTTCAACATCAGCAAAATTAGGGTGACTATCATGATCATTATCACCCCTACTGAAGGACGTTAGTAAATCCTGGAAGATAGTGAGTTGTCTCAAAAATGGTAGCATACATTTTTCAACACCAAACCATATAACGTTAACCAATGACGCCATCTCATCATTGCCTAATGAAACCTCAATTTCATTTTCATATGAATCAAGAATGGTTTCCATATTTTCAATTTCAGCTTTTCCTAGATTAAATTGTTGCTGTGCACGAAGCAAATAGTAATATTCAATATCTTCGTTTATCATTTTCAATAACGAATATATACAAATTGTGAATAACTTTGTATATCCTAATCTTGCAAGCGTATTTAAAGATTCATCAGTTTGGAAAAATAACAGAACAACTTCGTTAAACACGCTATCAAGTATTTTATCAGAATTCCAGAAATCTTGATATTCTAATGACAAATCCGCATCCGAGTTTAATAAGAAAGGAAGCTCTCTTTTCTCAAACATAAAAGCTCTGCATTGAATCAAGGATTTCATCAAGGTCTTTGATGAGGAGGGAATCTCATTCAAAAAATTAGAATAACTGCTATTACCCCCAATTCTAGTTGCAATTTCATTCATACGAATGGTATTTGCTATTAGAAGCGAGGCCGTTTGCAATTCATCAAGATAATCCTTCTTTTTGTTCGAACTAACTGGAGGATGATTAGCTTTAATTTCTGATAAGAAATCATCAACTACAGGTTTAAAAAGCTTTCTCATAACCGATTCGTTCGTTTGATTCACGATTTCTTCATTGACAAGGCCTTTTATAATTTTACTAGATTTCGTTATACCAGATGACGAGGTAATCTGGTTATACCTATTATGAATTGGCAAACCGGAGATAATACCACTATCGTGAAGACCGCCCCCATTGTTTGGCAGAAGATAACTTGGAACAAAAAGATTACAAAGATTGCGACACAACGGACAAGGATAATATTTCAAATTATTTGCAGAAGTTTTGTAACAATTATAATGCATCCCATGTCCACACGTAGAAGTAACTCGACCCTCAAGACTTCGATTTCTTTCTTGTGATTCAGGATCATAATAGTCAAAGCCATCTCCATATATACCATTGTTACTAGGCGAGGCTTGATCATTCCAACTTTGAAATGCTAGTGAGAAATATGGAGTATTATTCTCCGGTAATTTCCAAAAACTTGAACAGGTAGTTACACTTACTAACAAACCAAATAAATCTTCGGTTGATTCAGGTTCACCACAAAGAACGCATGTACGATACTCAACCTTTGGATCCTTGCTACTTTCAGCTATTTCTTCAGAACTATCTTTCGAAGCAAATTCAACATTTTTAGCCAAGAAGTTTTCACGCTGCTTTGCAAACTTTTTCATAACTTTCTTTTTACGTTCTTCTGCTAACCTCTTTCCCTTTTCAGAATCTGATTTCAGTGAACCTGTTCTCTTTCTTTCATAAGCTTGAATATAGGCTTCTCCAAAACAATCGACTAATGATTCAATAATTCTAGTGTCTTTAGAAATAAAGCTATCTAATAAAAATTCGGCCTTCCTTACTACATTCTTAGACATTGTTGTTTCAGATACTGATAGTAACAAATTGCAAATAGGAATGCTGACAAACTGTTCATTTAAATAATTGGATCCATGCAATAACTCATCATCTCTTAAAACAGCATGAATTAAATGTAATAGATGTGGTAAATAAGTTTCATCACATGTGTCAATCGACACTTGCAAATATTTATACATCAATTTGGCGAAATCTTTTGTCTTTGTGAATCCAGCTAACTTTTCATTTACTAATTGATTCTCCAATTCTGTTATATGGGGTATTAATACCACCTTCTCTTCCTTTATATTTTGTTCCATTGCTATGTTCTTAATCAAGTATTCGGATACAGTTTGGAACTGACTTGTGTCCAAATGCAAACTCAAAGGGTCCAACTTTTCAAAGTAACTTGATTTTAATCTATAAATACCCGAATCAATCAAACCAGTTGGTGGTTGATAATCAGTACATTCGTTCAATAAGTCATCAAATTCGGGAAGTTCACTTACTTCAATGTCTACTTCGCTTCTTAATGATGAATAACTTCTTGGTTCATCGCTCAATGCGTAACATATTGCTTGCCTAGCCTTATGCGATATCCTTTCTTCAGCCGTCAACTTGATAAAATTTGTTCTATCTGTAATCAAATTATATATAAATACAATGAATTTTTCCGAAATTGAATTAAATCTATCCTCATACACGGTTTTATCATGATTTACCTCGTTTAAATACCATGGCAAAAGTTCCCATCTATCCAAAAAGTTAAACAAAGTAGCTCTAGGATCGTCGAATATGGCAGCAATTTGATTTAAATGACAATCACGGAAATAAGCCAAGTCACTCATTAAAGAGTCGGTATATAATGAAGCTTGCCTTGATACTGAAATACCGTTTCTGATCCAAAATCCAATCTTAACTTGCGCACCTAGCACTATACTTCGTAAAGATACATCTGATATTTGTACGAATGGTCCTTTCATCAGGAGGAAAATATCCTGAAGATCTTCAAACCCCTGATACTGCAATAAGTAAGACAAAAATGAGTTCACCGGATGTACAAATGAAACAGGTTGTTTACTAACACGAAAATCTGCAATTCCTGGAGCATTCCATATGGTTTCACGTAGGCATAAGTAATCAGTAATAAATTTGACTCCCTCTCTAACCAATTGAACATTTGAAGTTTTGCAACTTGCTATAAACTTAGTAATGTTAAGAATAGGAACCGAGTATTCTAAGTGAACAACAAAATCCAAAAGTTCCCTTTCCACATGCTCACCATATTTTCTTTCAATAGTCCAATACCCCTGAAAGTTTCTTAAGAAAAGTAATAGCAAAACAAGATTATCATGTGTAAGAAAATAATCAAGTTTATTGACCTCAAGGTTTTTATCGACAAGATAGCAAATATCACGAATACCTCTGATGATAGCTCTCTTTTTTGCCTTATATGTTAATGGATGACCCCTTCCAATTTCAACAAAATTGGGTAAAAGAGTATACATATTCCATTCCGAAGAATGCTTTTCTATTATATAAGTAATAGGACCTAATATAAAACCTGCCTTGCAATCTCGTAATATCTTCAGAACACTAGTAGGACAGGTGAATAATTGGGTAGTTATTTCACATAATGAATTCAAGTGATCTTCACGATCCGAAAGTGCCATGCTTGTTATCAATTGCGGGTATATTGATACAAGTTGATCACAGAATACTTCTTTCATCCTAGTATTTGCAAGTATTGGGGGTATAATCAACGCAGGTAACTTTTTTCTTATAACACAATTAAATCTAATTTCAAAGTCCAACAAGAATTGTAATCTAGAATTTTGTTGCTTATCAAGTCTTGCATCAGGTTTTAATATGCCTGACGTAGTTGATTTGTAGCTCGCCATTTCTAGCGACGGCTTCACGCTGGTTTTCCCATAGTTTATGAATTGTCCATCTATCAACATACCATTTTCAAATAATTTTTTATATATTTCTTCTGATGTAGCTTCGGAATCATGTAACTCAGAAATAATCATCGTAGGAAAGTTTTTAGCAAATTCGAATCCAGGTTCCAAAAGTAGATCGGCTAGATATTGCTTACTCAGTTCACGGAACTCAATATTGCTTGTGAATTCTGTAATATCGACCAACCAGTTAAACA